AAATATGCAATAAAATAAATTAATTTTACTTCTTTAATTGCATATGTAATTATAACTGAATATGTCAGTAAATATATTTAATTGTTCATTAATTTAATATTTAAAAACAGTTTGCACCACCAAAACTATCTAACATAACATCATCGAAACAGTATTTTTTAATTTTTTTTTAATTTTAATTGGCTTAGAAATATAAAAATACATTATCTTGGCACAATATTTTAGATATGTTAAATTATTTATTTTAAAGACATATTTTTAAATATATTTCACATAAAGATACTTTAAATATAAATATTTAATGTAAAATATATAATAATAAAATATTATAAATTATTGATTTTCTGACCAAAGTTGGTGTGAAGAGAGTAAGAAAGCTGGTGAATGATTTAGACAAAATGGGAAGGCAAAAATCACTCACATTCATGTCTAGAGCTTACGCACGCTCATAGTTAGCACTGCATTCTGTTGCTCAACACAAGCACTAATTAGCTTTTCTCAAATGTAATGTAAACGGGTAAATCACAGCAGGAAACAGCCTCGGTCTGTGATGATGATCTCAGCTTGCTCTGTCTGTCTAATTCTCTGTCTCAGAGAGGGAAAGGTAATATCTCCGGCTTTACTCGCTATCATAATACACTAAATGAACTGGTGATGACAGTCGGTCTTCAGATGGTCTCTCATTTGTACGTGGATGTGTGTGTTTAATTATCTTTGTAAATGTGAGGTATTTTTTGCAGTATTCTTTTTCCCTTTGTTTCTTCCGCCAGTTCCTCTAAAGCACTTCAGGTCAGCTCCAGTCCTGTAACTAATATGAATATGATGCATACATGCTCGACAGGAGCTAATTAAACATTGATAGTGTTTCTCGTTCAGAGGGTCATGTGGACTCTCAATCAAAATGGCAGCTCTAATTGCATTCTGTGGGATTAGATAATGGATGCCGTTCCCTGCTCCTCTTGTCCTCCGCCAGCTGCTGGAGTGCCATAAATCGCTGCCTCTAGTATTTTCAATTATTTTGAAGTTGGCAACATCTGTGGATGAAGTTTCTAGAAAGTTAGACATTTGTAGCAGACATAAGTTCAATCATTTGTTCTTTTGGTACAGGAATTTTTATTTTATATATTTTTTTATTAATTGTTTTATCTTTTTGGACATGTATCATAGCACTACCAGGTAATTTCAAATGTTCACTTTAAGTCAGGTTTGTTTGGTTATTTTTTTATGTATTTATTTATTTAGATTAATAAAAATAATTAATTGAATAAGTTATTAAATATGCAATCAAATAAATTATTTGTTATTTTACATATTTAATTGCCACAAAATGCCATTAAATTTATTTCAATAACTATTTAACTGCACATGAAATATGTGTAATTATAGTATGTCATTAAATATATTTAATTATTTTTAATGTAATTGCCTATGTAATTATGCCTAAATAATAATAATAATAATAATTATTATTATTATTATTATAATATTTATAATAATTAATTAGATATTAATATGTGTAAGTTGTATATTAATTGTAACATATATACAGTATATATATATATATATATATATAGAGAGAGAGAGAGAGAGAGAGAGATATTAAATTATGATAATTATATATTAATATGTAATTATATGAGTATGTAATTAATATTAATACATATAATATGTCATTATTAATTATATTAATAATTATATATTATAGTTGTTAATTATTAACGTTCAATTACATATTCATATAATTACATATGCAATTATTGCATATTTAGTTACATATATATGGTGCTGTGGAGAGGAAATTTGATGAAAAATATATAATATTTGATGAAAAATATTTTTCTTTTCTATTTTCTATATGGTTGCTGTACTATTCATTTGAAGTAAAAGTTGACAGAGTTTAAATGCTGATTTTATAATGCTAGTTCTGCTCTGAATCAATACATGCCCTTAGGTTACATGTGTGTTTATGGAGCTTACAGATGGATAATTGAATGCACTGAATTTTACATCAAGTGCAGTTTATTTTAGCTGCATTCATTTTGGAAATCGGACAAACAGAATTTCACATTAACTTCGGCCTCAAGTCAAACACTTTTTTTAAACGGTAGGATGAGAGGTTTACTGTGGTATAAATGATTACTGTTTTTGCTGTGGTTACTTATTTGCTACTAGTTTTCCCTTACTTTTCATTCATATGTTTGTTTACATTTTCATCTGATGGACTGTCTTTTTATAATGATTGCAGTTGTATAACTTTATCTAATAATTTGGTATTAGAATCATTTATCATGTTATTTTAGTATCATTGAGATACTATTAAGGTTTTTAATATTTTGAATGTTTTTATTTTCATATTTTCCAGTTTCATGTTAATTTTAGTTAAAGTTTGAGTAATTTTGTTGTGTTTTTGACTTTTTTTAATTGTCATTTTGTTTTTTCAAATATGTCTGTAGTTTTAATAAATTTATATTTCAGTTTTAGTTATTTCAGTACATCATAAATGAACATGAGAAATGTTGCCTTGGCAACTAGCTGAATACGTGTTTTTTTTTTCTCGTTAACGCTTATTTAATTTCAAGCAATAATTATTTTTTTTTTTTTAGTTAACTATAATAACCCTGATTAGAATTAGAAGGTCATCACTCAGATTGGTGAGTTTGTTAACCAGAGTGTTTGAATGGAGAGCGTTTCTTAACGGTCTTGTTTCTCTGTCTGCATGTTGCAGTAATGAAGAACGATTGCAGCAAATCAGGAATCAGCTTCAGCAGGTGAGACCAGCTCCATCCTACGACGACCTGACAGCCCGAAGACGACCGGAGTACGACCCTTCACGAGTGAGTGCATGTGTGCTTTCTTTCTTTCTTTCTTTCTTTCTTACTGGCTGCTTTCTCAGGCACTGATTCAAAGCTCAGATTGTCGGGGTTCATCTCGCGGTGTGCTTGTGGCCAGATCTAAAGTACTCAGACTAATCTGTTCATCTGCTTAGACTCAGCAGGGATCTGCTCACTGCACAGCACTGTTATCCTGTTCACTGGAATAACCATTATAATGTGATCCTTTTTTTTTTTGTCTTTAACACTACAAACCCAATGTCATATTTCCTGAGCTACCACATAATCATAAAAGGTTATGATCCTCCTTTAATTTCTTTCACTTCAGTCAGAAAATAATTACATTTTTTTTAAGTGTTTCAAGCCCAGATTTGTACTTTAAGTGCCACTTTCAAAAGTACAGTCAGCCATTATTGTGTTAAAATGAAATTGTGTTCATCTGTGAATTCCTTTGCAACTTTGAGTTTCTCTTTCACCCTTTAATCATGTCGGTTTCTTTTCTGATCTGCCCTGCAAACTATATTACAACCTCTTATTTCCATATATCCCCACCTTTCTTTTTCAACCCCTTTGTATCTTTTTTTGGAGGAGTTTTGCTGTAAAATTGAAGGCTTGCAATATTCGTGGTATGGTCTCCTGCATGCACACTGCATGAAGTCAGATGTATTTTTAGATCCTGATGTTGTCTAGTTAGCATGTTCTCTAGGTAGTAGTTTGTGTGGGTGTGTGTGTGTGTCTGCGTCGCCCAGAGCTTCAAGTGATCTGACCCGTCCCTTGACATCCTGCTTCTACACGCCCCACCGCTGGGCACACATGCAAATTCAGCTGCAGTAATCCTCCTAGCTTCCTGTCATGTTTTTTCATCCGTATGACAACAGCACGTCTTCGTATCATCTTGGTCTTAATGTGCAAACCGAGGGCTGTTTATCAGCAGAAACTCCCAGCACCAGACACATCTCGCTTAATAAATAACTAAAACAGTATTAATAAATAACTCTTTGGATCATTAAGAAAGCAAGATATGTGCATCTCGCCGTCTGATCCATGCATTTGTCTTGTCTGGTGGCCCCCTCCCATTGCATTATGGGAGTCTGTCATTCATCCTGATGATGCTCAGGGATGAGTGTTTCATTAGCGCTCTCTTTCCGGTCATAAATATAAGACAAAGGCAAGATTTTCCACAGCGATAGCTGTAGATATTTTAATATTCTCTAGAATTAATTCAACTAGAGTAGTAAAGCCAAAACAATAGACAATTGCATTTTTTTATTTATGTATTATTTATTCTTTTTAAAGATGAATCATGATAATCATATTTAAAGGAATGGTTAAACTATATTTAACTGCTCCCTTAAAGGGATAGTTTACCCCAAATTAAAATGCTGTCATCATTTACTCGCCCTCATGTTGCTCCAAACAAGTGTTATTTTAGTATTATTTATATTTGTTATTATATTTTCATTTTTTGTTTAATATTTTAGTTTAATATTTATGTTTTTGACATTTTTTAATATATTTCTATATAGTTGAGTTTTTTGTTATTTTATTTCAGTACTTTTTAGCTTATTTCAGTTAGTTGCCAAGACAACATTTCTAATTATCATTGAAGTTTAAGTTTTTCAATTACCAAAAACAATTTTTTATAATTTTAGTTAACAATAAAAATAAGCTTTTTTTTTTTGTCCGTACAATGACAGTCATTGGGGTCCAAGTGTTGTTTAGATCCCAACGTCCTTCAAAATATAATCTTCTGTGTTCCACAGACAAAAGAAAGTCACACAGGTTTGGCGCAATAAAGTAAATGAGGATAAAATGTCAATTTTTGGAGTGAACTATGCCTTTTAGTGTTAAAATAGTATTGAGAACACTTGCTCTGCTTGCTACCTTTCAACAGTTTCTGCACTATCTTGGCACCTTGCGTAAAAATGAAATAATAAATGACAAATGGGGCATCCAACATGATGTTATGAAAACGAGACCATGTGAGACGTGCGATTTATTATGCATGAAAGACAGCAAGAAAATATGAATAAAAATCTGCTGAAACAGTAGGAAAAGAAGGGGGAAAAGCAAGACAGAATCACAGAAATGACAAAATTGTACAATTTTGCACAAATCCCTCCTAGAAATCACAAGGTTTGAAAATGGCAAGGGTGACAGTCATCTGTTCTCTTCTGGGCCACTTTAAAACAAAAACTCAATCTAAATTGGAACTAAGGCTTTTTTTCAGAAGCACTTATCGGAGCCCTGAACTCTGTCATTTCAGCGCCCGGAGCCATGCTCCCGTCCACCCAGATGTCCAGCACTTCATTTTCCAGAGATTGAAGGTTGTGTCCAGGGCTCGGCAAAGTTTGCAATTATAGTTTATATGATTACACACATCTGCTGGAAAAGCCAACTTCATTGAGACTTTCAAGGAACGACTGAGTCAGAAAATAGAAGCTCTGGTTTTGTAAGGAAAGTGACGTATCCAGTGTCCGATGTTTCTTGCACGAAACACTTTTGTCTGAATTGTTTGTTAAAGTTCCCCTATTATGCCATTTCGAATATTGCCTTTCATGCAGTGTGTAATGTAGCTGTATGTGAATGTAAATGATCTGCAAAGTTGTAAAGCCAAAAGTGCACGATAAATAAAGTTATTGTCTCCCAAAAGAAAGAATCGACTCTGAACAGCCTAAACAAGTCGTTAGTAATTCGAATCCCACTTCCACGATGGCTACACATCACAGAGGAACACATTTGCATAATGCCCGACGATGTAATATGTTTGCCGGCCACTTGACCCGCCCTCAAACACTATAGCTTGTTTGTGTGGTTAACATCATGTCGAGAAGACGCTGTGTCCTACGCTGTGAAAGTAAATTCTTTTATTTTCACATCCGAAAGATGAGGCTGCAAAGTAGGCCTGGGCGATAAAACGGTATCGATAATTATCGACGGTACACCTTCTTCGATAACGATAGAAAAAATGTTCGATATAGCGCATGATTATAGGCACATGCTATGGGTGACGCACACAGCACACACAAACACGAACACATGCTGAAATGAGTGCTGTGCCTGCCTGTGATGAGGAGATTGTAAATAAAGAATGAATATTAGTCTAATTTAAATTAAACATTTGCAATGTTAGGTGTGCATCAGGGAGTGTCATCAGTGGCGCGCGAGATGCGGTGATGATGTAAGTGACGTTGTTGCATTTTAATGTTTTGTTAGTCTAGCCCACGAGACGCGCCGCTGCTGCGTTATTCATTCAAAATATTAGAGAAATATAGAAGCTCAATGCGGAGAAGATCTTGATTAGGTTAAAACCGAAACCAAGCCATTCAGAACGCATATTCAGCGCATTTTTTTAGTCGGACAAATATGACTGCTGCACTCGCGTCTCACAAGAGATGTATAGAAAGCCATGCAAAGTTATAGTTTAAGCTTTTAGAAAACACGTCACAAATTTGTGGAAGTTTATTCCTTTTCACTGCGTCTCATATGTTTTAAATACAATCTCTGTGAATGGCACTTCGGCTCTTTGGATTAAGCAATGCATAAATACATGCATTTAAGCTTCTTTTATAAAATAAAATGATGCAGAATAATTTTAAAGACTGTCATTTTAATCTAAAATACAGATATGATGAAACTTTAGTAGTTTAGAGCAGGTTTGCTTCAAAATATTAATTTTGACAAATTATGTATTGTACATGTTTAAGAAAGAAGGACTAACATAGAATGTTTTAAATCACTGGTATCTATACAGATGTGATTAATATGAAAAGGTTGTTTGAAATCTAATAAAATCTATGAGATGAACAAGGATAAAAGTTAGTGTGTCTGTGGTGTGTGTGTGTGTGTGTGTGTGTGTGTGTGTGTGTGTGCTTCAGAACTCATCTAAGATCTCATACCGCATGAGCAGGAACAAATCAGTAGAGAATTGGTGAGCAATACTGGGAATAATTATTAATTCCTCATTAGTGGTGTTTGCTAAGGCAAGCATCACTTCTATTATTGCTCATACTTAGGGTTAGTGATTTAAACAAACCTCTGAATGTCTGCGCCGTGGACAGAAGATTGTGTTGTTACTTTTCTAAATGATCAGTGTTACAGATTTGCCTATAAGGAGGGACCTGAACGGTATCTAGGGAACTGATTATTATAGAGATTTTGGGTTGGGCAGTTCTGACTTGGTCCAGTAAGCAACCACACAGGACAACCTAGCAACTAGCTAGAATACAATATCAACCACTTACCCAAAACCCTAGCAACCACCCAGAATATTCTAGCAACTACCCAGAATGCTCTAGTAACCACATATAACACCCTAGGAACCACATAGAATGACTTAGCAACCACCCAGAACACCTTAGCAACCACCTGTTAACACACTAACAATCATAGAAAACACCCTGGCAACCACCTATAAACACCCAGGCAGTCAACTATTAATGCACTAGCAAACACCCAGAAAGTTCTTAAAAAAACACCTATTAACACCCTAGCAACCGCCCAGATTAACCATCTGCTAACGCCCTAGCTACTATTTAAAACACCCTAGCAACCACCCGGAACATCCTAGCAACCACCTAGAACATCCAAAAGAACACCCTAGCAACCAACAAACAACCTTGAATGTCCTAGGAACCACCTAGAATATCTTAACAACCACCCAGATTATCCTAGTGATCACATAAAACGTTCAAGCAACCACCTATAAGCACCCTAACAACCGCCTGTTAACACCCTATCTAAAACACCCTAGCAACCACCCAGAATATCCAAACAACCACTCAAAACATCCTAGCTATCACCTAGAACACCCTAGAAACCACCAGAATGCCTAATCCCACCTATGAACACCCTGACAACGATCTAAACCACCCTAGCAACCACCTAGAATATCCAAACAATCACTCAGAACATCCTAGCGATCACCTAGAATGCCATGTAAACCACCCTGAACGCCCTAGCAACCATACAGAATATCTTAACAACCCACAACAACCTAGTGA